CCTTTCCTGTCCTCTCAGGCTCCTGAGGTGGTGGCTCTGTGGCTGGCCAGCCACCCGGGCATGTATCTGCTTTGGGCTCTCTGAGCCTCAGATTTCCCACTTGTAAAATGGAAGGCAGGACTGCTCTGACCAGTAAACGTGATACAGGGTATGCCAGGCATTAGTGGCACCAACCATGGCCACTTTTCTCCCTGTCCCACCCTCCCACTCTGGACTTGAAGCTCCTTAACGGCAGGGAGTGTGGCTTTTGATTTGGAGATACCAGCAACTTGCACAGAGTTAGCACATAGCAGATGTTCCTGCATGATGAATGAACCCCCATTTCACAGTCAAAGAAACTGGGCTGAGCCTGTGGCGCACTCGGGAGAGTGCGGCGCTGGGAGCGCAGCGACGCTCCCGCCGCAGGTTCAGATCCTATATGGGAATGGCCGGTGCGCTCATTGGCTGAGCGCGGTGCGGGCGACACCACACCAAGGGTTGCGATCCCCTTACCGGTCACGAAAAAGACAAAAAAAAGAAACCAACCAGTAGAGAAGATATGGGGCCCACATTTGGCCTCCCAAAGGGCAAAGCGCTGGGCCAACTTCTATTAACGACCAGACCAGAGAAGACTGAAAAAGTTTATTTAGAACCAGGCGTGGGCCGGCCGGTGGCGCACTGCTACAGTGCGCCGCTTGGGAGCGCGGCGATGCTCCCGCCGAGGGTTCGGATCCCACATACAGACCGGCGGCTCACTGGCTGAGCGAGGTGCAGGAGCAACGCCAAGGGTTGCGATCCCGTTGCCGGTCCCCGTCTGGTGCAGGCGCGACACTGAGGGTTGCGATCCGTTGCCGGTCACAAAAAAAAAAAAAAAAAAAAAAAAAAAAAAAAGAACCAGGCCTCCTGTCCCCAACTTGTGCAGCCAGGATCTCCTGCCCACTCCCCACATCTCAGGCCCTGTCCAGGCTCAAAGCCAAAGGCTAACCCAGAAGTCTCTTCTGGGCCCATCTTTCTCTGAACCTCTTCAGCAGGGCCCAAGACTGCCTAACTTCTCTCTGCAAAGAGCAAGCACCTCCCGGATTCTCCTGGAGTGTCCTCACCAACCAAAGGGGCTCACAAACTTCCACACCTGCAGAGGGGCCATACCCCAGCCCACATTTACCTTGTCTGGGAGTTAGTGAGAAGCCGGCCTTCCCTTTCTGCCCTCCTGATCCACTCCCAGGGTCCACCAAAGAGGCGAGTTACTTATTGACAGTGCAGTAGTGCACACTGCCTGCCCCCTTTTCTGTGTGTTGAGGTGAGGTGGGGGGATCCACCAGACACCTATGATGACCCAAGGCATTCATCAATCACCCACCGAATGTGTGTTTGGGGGGTCCCCCTCTGGGTGTCGGGAGGCTCGTGGTGGTCCGCCTTTGTCAGTCCCGCCGAGGGCAGCCTGGAAGGCTGTTGGTACTAAGGGGAAGCCTCGACCTCCCATTCGGCTCTCCCTCGGCCCTCCTACATCCCCTCCTCCCCGGGCCGCGGGGCGAGGACCCCACCAGTGGCCCTGGGAGGGCGGGGAAGGGGCCGGCCGGTCCCGGGCAGCTGCGGCGGCGAGGAGGGGGCGCGGAAGAGCAGCTCCACCTCCTCTGCCTCCCAATCGCGTTACAGGCGGAGCCGCCAGAGTTTCCTTTCGCGCAGAGAAGTGAGGTCCCAACTCCCAGGACCGAAGCCGCCCACCACTCACCCGGGCTGCCCCTGCCCTGCGAGAGTGAGGCCTCAGGCCGTCCCACCCGGGGCGCGCAGCCTCGCCCCCGCCCCCGCAGCCCCGGCCTCGAGCCCCGCACTCAC